TGGTTTAGAGAGATGCCATTTCTTAATTGTAGCTATCTGGCTGAATTTCACTGCAGCTTAGTAGTGGTGTCACTTTCCAAAGTCTAATAATAATCACTTTGGCTCCTGGTTCCTGCAGGACAGATATTCATATCAAGCAAGGTTGCATGGAGATACTGGAGAGTTACTTGTGCTAGTTACCCATCTCAAGAAATGCTAGTCAGAGCTCAGTCTTACTGCACATTTTCTTTTCACCATGCAGCATTTGGACTGGCTCATCTACATGCTTTGTCTCTGTAATCTTGTGTCAACCCACTGTGAATATTTAGAAAGCTACACATTGATAGTACAACAATGGTTTTATTAAATCCAAACCTTATGATTATATGTAAAACCCTCAGATCAATTTGAATAGTTTAAGCCATATCATTTTCTTTAAAAATAGCAGATTAAAAAGATTCAGAGACTGCCAAAACATCTAAACATATTTCAAGACTTGTTTAAAAGGACTGCAGACCTTTTGTGTCGTTTAACCTTAAATAAAAATAAACTTAGTTATCACGTCCTTCCATTTTAACTTCATCCTATGAAAAGCAGTTCTTACCACTAGTAAAGATCTTTAAACCACCACCTAAATTTGCTGTTTTCTTGGCATCACTGTCACACCACTGAATTCCAGGAGCTGTGAGAGTCAGCAGGACTATCAGCTGCCTGTAGTTAAACAATATCAATTATTCCATTTTCTGAATTATCCAGTTAATACAACAAAATGTTTTTTTACCAGTTTACAACACAAAACTCAATGACAACAAAATTACCAAGACCCTAATTTTTAAAAAAACTTTCCAGAAAAGTTTTCAGAAGTCATCTCTCAAATTCACCACTGCAGAATAAAGATATCTTTGGGAATTAGTGTGTACCCAACAAAAAGTTAATATATGTATTTAACTTCAAAATACACTCTAGTTGTCTACATGGTGGCATTTAATTCACAGAGCAACATTTGCGTCTGTTGCTGTACAAGATGAGTGCCTAAGAAAGTGGCATGTAATAAATAGCATTGAAACAAAGGGATATAAATTCCAGAACGTCATAAAACAAGTTCATTATTCACATGTTGTCAGGAGGACACTCTGTTTCAAAGTACATGAGGAAACAGATGAGATGTATGTGCTTTTGGTCTATCTGAAGGATAAAAAGTGGAGAGAATGATACATTACAGGATATTCACACTATCCAGACCTCTACAGCAAGCTCATTCTTTGTTTCCAAAGTGGACAACTCCTCATTTCCTTAATAAATACTTAAAGCAGAAAAAGTTTATATTTACTGGACTACTTCAAGAAAAAAGTTTTGCCTTCCTACCATCCCCTCTTGACATTAAGGAGAGCCATTTGTCACTAATTGTCCCTTTTCCTTCCACTGCTGAAACACTTGATCTCTGAGATCCACTTGTGCAGCCTGGCAAGCAGCACACCAAAAATCAGGGGTGTTGACAGCATAGCCCTTCTGGAAATTACTATACCCACATCAGATTGCTTCCCTTAGTGCAGAAAAGTGGGCACCAACCTTAGTCTCTGCATTCCACTTTTTGCCACCCTCTTCCCAAAACAAAGACTTAACACAAACATTGACAAAATTCCATGCCAACATACACCAACCTAATTTCTTATGGCTAGTCATGTCCATATGAGGAGACCCACAAAAAATGTAGTTTTTTGGGTTTTTTTTTTTTTTGTTTTTTTTTTTACTCACAGCAGAGCATTTTAAAAGATACTGCCTCTTTGAACTTCCAAATATTTTAAATAGCTTTGCTGCCAGCAAAGAGAGAAAGCCCTTGCCAGCTGCCATTCAGTATCTTTACTCCTCAGGAGCCTTTACACAGATGTGCATCCCTCATGTTGCTCTGTTACAAAGACTTCCATCCTCACCAAAACACTGAACTTCTTCCAAGCTTTGCTGGTTTTCTTCAGAATTTAGTTCTGAACACAACTTCTATCAAAGGGTAGAAGAGGGGTAGGGAAAAACTTTCTTCCACAAACTAAAGTATGATCTTCCAATTTGCCAATAAAGAAGTATCCCAGCAGTGAGATTGATTCCTTCCCAATATTAACCTCTTAGGTCATTTCAGTTTGCATAATTCCACATGCAGACTTTTTAATAATCTGCCATTAGACTTCGATGTAACAAAAATGTATGCCTAACTGGAACTCCCCAACACCTTGCAGTGAGTCATTCACATTTAGAAATGGGCACTGTGAAAGTTTTACATTGTCCACTCAATTTTTCCTAATAGCCAGTACAAAAACTTGTACAGTATTGAACACCCATAATCTCCAGCTGAGTACTGAGTGTGTTTGTGAATGGCTGCCAGCTCAGATGCTCTGCTCTTCTCTACAGCTTCTTACTCCAGCAGCTGATTGATTGTGCCTGCTTCACTTGATTTGTTCTTGGTTGTTTTCTTGATTTCTCCTCATCACTCTTCCTGAACAGCCACTCTATGCTTTACCAATCAATCTGTCATTTTTTTTACTGTCGTAAAATTCAACACCCAACTCACTTTCGGGAGTGAATTGTAAAGAATTTTTTCCAAATTCCCCATCAGGTGATGTTTTGGTTTGACAAATACACAGAAGATTTTATTTTCACCACCTCTCCCCTTCAGATCCCTTCTGTTTGTCAGTGCAAGCAGCCACCTTGCACTTGAAGGAAATACCAAAACTTGAACACGGCGTCGTCAGATCATCACCATTTCCATCACACCTGGGGCTTCACTTGTTCTCTCACCAAATTCCCTCACACCTGGGGCTTCACTTGTTCTCTCACCAAATTCCCTCACACCTGGGGCTTCACTTGTTCTCTCACCAAATTCC